AGAAAAGCCTGGATATAATTAGAACAGATGAACTTTTCCGCTCAAGCATTTCCAATGGCCAGGTGTGGTGGCATGCACCTGTAATCTCAGCACTCTGGGAAGCTGAGGCGGGGGATCGCAAGCCCAAGCAATTTAGTGACTTACCAAGATTCCGTCACAAAATTAGAAAATAGAAATAAAAATAGAAAAGGGCTGGGGATGCAGTTCAGTGCAAAGGCCCAGCTCAAACACCCCACTACCACAGACAGACAGCACGCGCGCGCGCGCGCACACACACACACACACACACACACACACACACAGATACTGGTTGGTGGAACCTGCTGATGAAGAACCACAGATACAGAGAGCTGACTATATTCTACATGAAGAAACTGGAGCTTTAATCTCAGGGTGACCAAGTCATTGAATTACACTGAACACGTAAGTGACACAGCCAGATTCTCATTGAAGATTTTGTCACTGCAGAGCAGAGGACGAGGTGGAGAGGAGAGACTCCCAGCAAGGACGCCATGTGGTGGTCTAGGACCACAGGCAGAGTGGAGCTGGGGGCTGGACTTAGAGATGAAATCTGTAGACCTTCATCCTGGATGTGGTGGCAACAGGAGCAGGTGGTGGAGAACAAATCCCATCACCGAAGTCAGCTCCAACGAGAAGGATGGTGATTAGGCAGATACTCATGGCTTTCACCCTTATTCCTATCTCCTCCTGTCCTGCTTTTACTCTTCAAACTTGATATTCTCCATATGGTTTTATTCTAAGCAGAGGTAGGGTTTGGGGAAGGAAAAATCTCATTGTTGTTTATTGCAGCCCTGGAAAATAAATCACAAGAGCACTCACAGCAGATGCTTAGCATTTATATTACGTTTGCCCAAGCAAAGCGCTCAGAGCACACCCTGAGTTGCAGGTGCCAAACAGTCAGTGTCTGAGTGGAACCAGGCAGCAGGTTTCACCATCAGCATCATCATCAGCCTTGAAATCGAGGGCTTTGTAACTTGATTAGAATGGTACCAGGATTTTAATTTGGGTAGTTCTTTAGTTTTAAAAAATTATAAAGCAAGAGTCCTGGATGGCGAACATCGAACTAGAAACAAACTGTTTGTTTGTTTCAATAAGTAGTTGCACAGCTCTTTTATACAGCATTGCAGGGCAGGCTCAGATACACAGTCCCTGCACCTGAAAGGGCTGTCTCCAGCCCAAGCTGAAACCAGAGCTCAAGGGGCTCCGCAGGAAACGACGGGTGTTCAGGCCCAGGGGACAGGCCAGGCGAGAAACCTTGGTGCCCTCTCTTCTGTGGGGTGGGGCAGCAGGGGTGTGGAGAGAGGATCTTTTCCAGTGTTCCCACTGACGACAACGGGTACATGATTCGTTCACACCAGCTGGGCATGGCATGGCAGAAGCCCAGAATACAGCCCTGACAACGTGTGTCCTCGTGGGGAAATGCTGCTGGCTTCTGTTACTTCTCCTTCAAGGCAATGTGAAGTTTCCCAAGTCAAGTGTGTTATGACAGAATTCAAATACCTTTGGGAAAAGGTACAGGGATAAAACCTAAAACAACGTGTGATTAACTGGTCAACCTTTTAAAGATAAAGTTACTGGTGATGATGAGAACCGGCCACGTTACAGGTGTCAGCGAGCATTACCTCCCCGGTGAAAACATAGCAATTCTGCTAGAAGCTGATGGGCAAACCATAAAAAATATGTACATGCTGGGCATGGCGGCGAATGCCTCTAATCCCAGCACTTGGGAGACTGAGGCAGGAGGATTGCTGTGAGTTCAAGACCTGGGCTAGATAGTAAGTTCCAGGTCAGTTTCAACTACATAGTGAGACCCTGTCTCAAACAAAACAAAACAAAACGAAAAATGTATAGGTAAAGATGTTAGTTACAAAATCCCTTATCATTTGGAAAAAACTGTGCACTCCTATAACAATGTAAACTGGTGACGTGCATTCGAGCACTTCCAATGTTATGGAATTATCTGCCGTGATAAATCATGCTTCAGAAGACTTGACACAGGGAGACGTCCAGGACTGTGTCACACAGGTGGTAGCACATTTTGTAGCATGTTTTTATAAGGTTACGTAAGGTAAAAATACAGAGAGGAGGCTTAAGGCAAAAATATTCAGCTGGGTGCAATGGCATCCACCTATAATCGTAGTATAGAAAGCTGAGGTGGGAGGATAGCTGGTTTGAGCCCAGCTAGGCACCTTAGCAAATCCTTGTCTGAAAATTAAAAAATTTTAAAAGGGCCTGGGATTATACGTCAGTGGAATGGGTCTAGGTTCAATTTCCAGTACTGACGAGATAAACAATTCAATTAGAAAGTCATAGCAAAATGCTGAAAATAGCTATCTTTGAATAGTAGGATTCTATATTGCCTTGTGGTTGTTTTTCTTCTTTTTGTTTTCTCGGTCAAAAACATTTACATAGCAAAATGCTACTTTTGTAGTCAGAAAAAACTGAAAGTTATATGTAATAATTTAAATGGCAATAAATTCATAAAAGGCAACTTTACAAAAATTCTAAGTTTAAAGTATAATTTAAGTAAAATATGTAACATGGAATATACTGAATATGTATAATGGGTCACTTATTAGAGTGACATTTAGTATAAAAATTCCCAGACAATTAAGTAATTCCTTAGAAGTTTCTGCAAAAGGACATGATTTAAGAAATGTGAAGAACTGGCGCGCCTGTGACTCCCCACAAACACCCCCTGTGCTGCATGCTGTGGCCAGCTTCGGCAGAGGGGCCTGATGTGTGGTCCCTCGAGCCTCCCTCCCTGGCTCCACTAGGGCGCCCTGGGAGGACCCGGGTACTGTGCTGAGCTGGGGCGAACGTCCCGACCGTGCTGGGCAGGGACCAAGGCAGGGGGTACCCTGGGCTGGCTGCCAGCGGGGACACAGGGCTGGAACAGGCAAGAGCCTGGACTTGCGCTGTGCTGGGAAGTCAGGGCTGCAAGGCTACGCATGCCACCCCTGGGACCCAGCGCGGACCAAGTCCCGGGCTGCTGAGGTCAAGGGGAAGAAGGTCAGAGGAAGAGACTTTGGCCCTGAAGGCTGGGCGGACAGTCGAGGGAGAAAGCAGAGGGAAAACAGACTCACAATGCTTGGCTGTTCAAGGCTGAACCCAGAAGTATCCCTGTAGGTCATGGAAACCAGAAAGTGGGGGTCACCCCAGGTCATTTGAGTCTGCGGTGCTGTGGTCAGCGGTGGGTCAGGGGAATAACCACAAAACTTGGTGGCTGGTAAACCTAGTTAGCTTTTGTTACCATTTTGTATTATTTCCTGGGTCTAGCACAGAGCCTAGCAAATAGGGATTCAGTGAATACTTGCTCTTTGTGGCCTGCCACCCCGGTGACAGTATCCAGGGACTTCCCACTGAGCTACATTCCCAGGCTTTTTTCATTTTTTATTTTGAAACAGAGTCATGCTAAGTCACTAAGTTTCCTGGGCTGGACTCAGACTTGTTATCTTCCTGCCTCAGCCTCCCAAGTGCTGGGATTACAGGCGTGAGCTGTCACGTCCAGCGTGTGGTGTTTTAAACCCTGTCTCCTGGGGGTGCTGTGCATGAGCTGCTACCACGCTTGGGCCTGCGCTGCCAGCCCTGCTCTAAATGTTTGTTTGTTTTTTTAATCACTCAACAATCAGATGTCCTGTCTACATCCTACAGATCCCAGGCACACTCGCTGCCTCCAGGAGTTCATACCAGGCAGGGAGAGACACACTTAATTGAACACATCTGTAACTCACAGGAGGCACTGCAATGCTGCAGTGTAAGAGTGGGGAGGCTTGGCCTAGGCAGGGCATTCAGGTCAAATTTGTCTGAGGAAGTGACACCGTGGGATGCGAAAGATGAATATGAGTCAGCTACGTAAACAGCATTCCGTAGACAGAAAGGCACGTGTAAAGGTCCTGCTTCAGGAGAATGTGCAGCCACCATGAATGACATGGGGAAGCACAGTGTGGCAGGTGCTTAGACCTGGTGGTAAACCTAGAGCAGAGAGGCCTGAGAAGCAAGCAGGAGTTGGTCTCGGGGAAGTGTAGGCCAGGAGGTCTCTGCCGTCACTTAAAATCAAAGGACAGCCACCGAACATGTCATAGCACAGAGATAGCAATAATCACGCAGATGTTTTACACCTCCCCCTCATTCATCCAGCTCCGGTAACTGCTTTCATAGCTCGGCCTTCTGAGATACTCTCCTGTGAGGGAAAAGCAGCTGACGAAATGTTTGAAATCAAACCTGGGTCCACAGAATGCCATGGGCAGATTGGAAACAACTCTTCTTTAAGGTGCTTCCCTTCCGTTACTAGAAAATCATCATACCAATTTTGTTAGGGGAAACTCTTCACTGCCAACCTCCAGAAACCGCTATAATAAACAGAAAAGTTTGTGATATTTACAATGTGACGCCTCTGTGCAGGCCACAACTCCAGAAAGAAAAAGGGAAAAACTTTTTTCCCCTTAAATATGATGAGATGTATTTTTTTGCCCAAAGTGCCACTAACTGAGAACCAGGGAGCCCGAGAGAAATACACAATACAATGTGCTGGGTGCGGCACCCTGGGGTTTGATTAAAATTGGATGAAGTATTCTATATATTTTTCCAAGTGGTTTTTGAGTTAACAATTCACTTTCAACCAGAAATCTTGCAATATAAATTTAAATTCATTAAATTGTTTACAAACTATCATGAAAGAGCAAACAAATGCTTGTATGTATTATAAAGCATCCTAGAAGCTGATATCCGCACTGAACTCCACAGCCAGTTGTATGACTATCTTGTTCACAAATATTTTTTTCCCTTGAATGAAATGCATCACTCTCACAGATGCTTCTAGAGGATTCTAAGAAAAAAAAAATAGAATGCACTGTGGTCTTCTCCCACCCAAGCTCCACTGTGCTGCCTCTGGCATTTCTCCTCTGCTCCTTGTACCTGTATCTTTAGGGTAATAGCATTCCAGCAGAACGGCCTGGGGAATCCTGAGTCACACTTACCGCTCTCTGGACAGAAGACGAACCGGTCCCTTCCTCCTCTTCCCCATCTGGCTCTGGGTCCTCGTTGTCAGTCCAAGAGGATACATCCTCTACTGAGCTGGTCAGATCCGGTAAGCTCTTGGAAGTCAGCCTGAGGAGGTCCTCCGCAGAGGTTTCCTGTGGGGACACAAGGACAGGCCCTGAAATGATCATCCGGCACCAAGCAGCTCTGGAAGTTATCACGACAGAGCGGAGCTGCAGGCTTCCAAAGCCTGCATGAGCTTTAGGTTCTGCATGTCCGGGGTCAGAGCCCATGTCAGGGCATGTGTACATCCAATTCATACCCCAAACCACTTTTCCTTTCCCCTGAAGAATTTAGGTTTCTCAGAGTGATGTTTCCACAGGCAGCACAAGCTTTCTGGACTTTGGTCCTTTAAGGGCCTGCCTGGTCTCCCCTTCAAGATGTTGTGTAAACTCCCTCATGGGCAGGTGAGCCTCTTGGACATCTGGCCCCTCTGTAACGCTCAATGCCGTCCTCCTGCATTCTCCCTGCAGCCCACACCTTAAGTCATTTCCAATCCTCCTTGCAGTCCCCTGCCCCACAGCAGCGCCCCCCATCAGTGCAGGCCACCCTTGATTCATGACTATCGTCTGCTTGGGGAAAGCCTGAGCATCTCTCCTGGACCCTCCCCAGAGGCATCGCACGCACCCCTCCTGTCTCTCTCATGTCCTACGCTGATTCTTTATCCCCACAGTGCAGGTGTAACTTCCCTTGTCGGTCTCCCTCGCTTGTTGAGAGTTTCTCCCACCTGACTCCAGTTCTCCTCATTACTGTGTCCCCAGGCCTAACCAGAGCTCCAGTATCCACCCTATCATCCTCTACCCCGTTGGCCAGCTCACTAGCATATGCTCATTAGAAAGAGATTAGATTGTTTATTGAATCAAAATGCCAACCAGAAGACGGGATAATGTGAAAGCAGCTCTTGAACAACTTTTAAAGGTCAACAACAATACATGGAATCCGACTCCATTCACATTAGGCTATGTGGGCTTCTGTGTACAATGAGGGCCAAAGCAGGTTCAAGATGCACGTGAGCTCACGAGGTGCTAGCGACAATCCAGCAGCAGAGGCGGCACACCAAGTGCTCTGTACTGTCCCGGGAAATGCTACCAACTACGAAGCCAGAGCTGGGAGGGTGCAGGGCTGCAGAGCTGAACTCAGTCGAAGCAAGGGAATAGTGGTCCCTCGTCACGAGCCCCTACACCGGCCATTTCCGCAGGGAAAGAAACGTTCAGAAAGCCTGAATCATCCGACTGCTGAAGGGCAGAGGGAATAGAGGGGAAATACCCACCACAAACAGTGGACTCTACAAACTGCTAGTGAGCTGGCACCTGTGGACAGTGATGTTTGATACTAGTTTGTTGCTGCTTCTACCTTCTAGGAAGTTGAAGGCTACTCATTTTAGACCAGTAATGCTGAGTACTACGCTGTTAATCCTTAAGGAAATGAAAAAGTTACCAAACAAAAAGTAAGTTCGTGTCTCTTCTGTGATGTCAAACTGGTGGACCATTAGTAGAAGAGAGTTAACAAAACCAAAGGTGCCAACTGGTGAGTAAACTGTACAGCAGCTACACGATAAAATACTACACAGCTGTGAAAAATGGTGCTGCACAAATGTACTTCCTATGTGGTGAGGTTCTTACAGTATGCTACTCAGGGAATAGGTAGATCAAAATAATATGGACTAGCCACGTCATCGATAATGCAGGTCATCATAAACAAATGGGAATAATGAGTCTAACCATGAAGGCAAGCATTTCCCCAGCGCTCACACCGACCGACCATCTACCCTGCCCAGGGCCTTTTTCATCTCTTGTGGTCTCTCTGACATCCTCATCGAGCAGATCTGGAGGCAGCAGTACAGAGGAAAACCCCGAGGTTCGGAGCTGAGATTCACAGCTTTCCCAGGGCTGTGCCGGCCAGTGGAACTGCCCCCAGCATTTTCTCTTGGAGTTGATTCCATTCCCAGCTGGAAGACACACCAGCTAACAGGTAGCACTACTGGTAGTGTTATCAGAACTTCATCTTCTACTTCTCTGTATTTTTTCTGGGTTTTCTGTATTTGATATAAAAAGCTTTACTACTTGCTAACAAAAACGAGGAATGAAAAAAGGAGAGCAAAGGAGAGGCCTGTACCACCACATGGTGCTTTCAGGAATATCAGAACGGACTTGGATATTCTGAACTCATTCGACAAAAAGCCTCTCAGCTCCTGCTGTAAGCAAACAGCATGCTTGTGTGGAAACTCGAGACACCCTCTCTGCAGAGAAAGTTAAGTGCCACGTGTCCAAAACAATGGCTTGAAGTTCTGTGACAAGGCGACTGTTATCTAGAATAAGTTTCCATTTTTATTATTCTTTATATTCAGCAAGTTGGAAGCTCTCTCCCATTCAGATAGGAAGAAGAAAACAACGGCTGTGGATCACTTGTTCTTGTTGGATAAAGAACAGGAACAGAGGCCAAGAGGCACCTACAATGGGTGCTTCTCTTTCCTTACACGGCCTGAAGAGGGGAACAGAGGCAGCTGCTGTGCTGCTTTTTGCTTATAAGTGGGGTCTAGAGAAAGGAGAGAAAGGTCTGGGATCCTCTATGTCTGGGTTGGGTGTGCAAGGGCCCCAGGACTGAGCTGGAAGGGACCCTCATTCTGGCTCTTGAATGCTGCTCAGCTCTACAAGGACCCCTATACGTGTCCCAAAGTCAAAGCCTCTGCAAGGAACACATTACCTTTCTTCAGCACCATTGGCTCTAGGGTCCCTTATGTCTTATTTACTTAGTGAAGCTCAGTTTAGAAGCAGCACGAACCTTGCAGCTCAGCAGACTATGGACAAAACCTGCTTCTGCTGCCTACTATTGTGTGACCTCAGGCAAATCAACTCATGATTCAGATTTGAATAAAAAAACTCATATCTATCTCAAGGGATCTGTTTTTTTAATAACCTCGAGAGTAAAAGCACCTGGCATGCTTCATGTAGTGTCTGTTATTTCTTCCTGTGAGGTAGGGTGCAAGATCAGAGACTCGCCTTCATCCGGAAGCTAATACCCTGGATTGGGTTAGCTCCACCCCTTTCTTTCATCCTGTATTTTCTCTGGGTTTGGGAATGACGGCTTGACATAGAAGAGATGCCCCCTTCCTCATCTTCCAAACTAGCCAGAGAAACAAGGCAAGGTAGAAATGAAGGTCTGGAGGTATGGGGTGCAACGCCTGGGCCCAAGCCTGAGCCCCTGAGCTGCAGCCTGTGTGGGAAGGGCTGGCAAACCAAAGCAGGCTCTCTGTGTAAGACCCAAAAACACGTTCATGCTCGATCCAGCAGGCAAAATGAGGAACTGCCTCCCTCCTCGGGAGTTCAGCTGGCTGAGGGACGAGACCCTAGGCCTGCTGTCCTTCCCCATCCCTGATGAGGAGCCCCGTGGCCCACAGAGCACTCTGGGTGAACAGGTGTGCAGGTTCCCGGGGCCCCATGGCAGATCTGAGAGGGGAGGAAATGGCTCGTACATGGGGCCTGGGCCCTGCTCCTGCCCCCAGGGGCTCTGAGACCCATACTTCTTACTGGTGCTCAACTAAGGCTCTATCAATTCCGTGTGGGAGCCTGAGACACTAAAGGTTTGTCGTAAAATGAGTAAAGAAAGGAATGCACTTTCCAGAGAGCTCAAAATAATCTCTTTGATAAATAGGAGGGATCGGTTTCTGGACCTCTCATGTGTACCAGAAAGCAAGAATGTTCAAGGCCTATACATAAAACAGCACAGCATTTGCATATAACCTATGCTCACCTTCTTGTATACATTAATTCATCTTTAGACTAATAGTACCTCATACAGTGTGAATGCTATGCAGTTCTATACGCTATTGTTTAGGGAATATGGACAAGGGGAAAAGTCTGAGCATCTTCGGTATAATGCAACCATTTTTGTTTGTTTTTGTTTCTAATTATATTGGGCCCAAGGTTGGTTGAACTGTAGATGCAGAACTTGTGGATATAAAGGGCCGATTGTACTCCCCAAACTGGCAGTAGAACTTACAATTTAAGAGGGAAAATACACAAACACCTACAGGTACCAGGTTCAAATCAGCAGTGGGCTCACAGGTAAAGAATTAGGTCATGGCGATGGCACAGAGCCGGGCAGGCTAAGATATGTGTGGCTTCACACCAACACTTCCTGCCGGAAACAGAGAAAAGCCTGGCTCCACTCCTCTAATCGCTCGGTCACACAGTCTCTCTCCTTTGCTCCTGAACAGGGCACTCAGAGGGATGACTGGGAGGGAGAAAGGGCAGCCTCGCCTCATGGGAGCTGTGACTCTGCAGCACTTTTCCAGGGCTTTATGGTGGGGAGACACAGGGGCCACACACAGCCAGGGAACTCTGTGCCTCGGGATCTTGAGAAGGGAGAGAACCAGGACAAAGAGGTGGCAGCAAGACAGCACAGACTGGGCTGTGCAACAAGAGCTGGCACCTGGCGCTGTGGCTGGCATCACAGCCTCTGCCAGTGGGCACTGCCAGGTGTAAACTTGAGAGCGAAAGATGGGGGTGGTCAGACCAAGGGATTCAGAACTTCCTGCAGCTCCCAAATTCAGAGGCAGAAAGAACCAGGGCGTTGGCCTGTCCAAAGCAGCCAGAGCTTTTCTCTCTTCCAGACTTGGAAGATGCAAGCCCCATGTCTCCCTCTTTCCCGCTGTGCAGACATCCAACCATTTCTTCAGTCAGTCTAGGGAGAATCGCTGCTTCCCTATGTTGCCCGTCCTTAGCCCTACGTTCTTACCTTCTTGGATCTATTACTTCTTTTCCATACCCTCGTGTTAGGGGAAGGGTCTAAAACACATGGTTAAAAGACTTACAGCAAATGATTAAATGCTCTCAGCGAAGGCTCTCCAGGTGGGTTTGCCCTGTTGGACTGTGGCCGCTTCAATGGTCCAATGTAAATGTGTGAGCACACGTGTCTATGCGTGGCATGGGGAGGACTCCAATCTAACCTCACCACCACCACTGACAGGATTTTAACAAAGCAAACGACCTACCTTGCTGGCCACCACCAGCTGCACCATTCCAGTGGCGGAGCGAAGAATGGCCACAGCTTCCTCATGGGAGAGCCCGACCAGTAAGTGACCATTGATCACCAGTAGTTCATCGCCCAAGGACAGTCTGCCATCCCTGAGGAAATGGAGATGGGAAAAAATATCCCTGTCAAGACATTCTGGGCCAGAGAAGGGTCATTTTCCGGGAGCTAGGGTAGGTCACGGAAGGGAGCTCAACTGGGTGAAAGAGGAAACAATGACATCTAGAGAGCTTAGGACGGGACTCCTTCTTGTTTTGTTTTGTTTTTGGTATTGGGGGATCAAACTCAGTGGCAGCACCACTGAGCTAAATCCCCGGCCCAGCATTGTTTCTTTGTTTCCTTTAAATTATGGCTAAGTTACTGTCCCACTGGGCTGGCAGGAGACGGTTGTCACTGGTCTGTTTCCCCCAGGGAGGTCAGGGCTCTCTGGGGCACCCTACACGAGAGAACTGGGCAGGCTCCCTCAATGGATTCCAACTGAGCCGTCAGTGGTCTGGTCTTCCATGACCACAAAGGAACCTAAAATAACTAAATATAGGACAGGACATCTAATGAGGGGGAGAGACCCTGAATCTCCTCCCCAACACGCAGGGTGCTGCTGTGGAACTCATGAATGTCTCCCTTCCTCTCAGATTCACTCAGCTCTGATTCTCTTCAATTTGTAGATTTTCTCTCCCTTGCTCTCTTTCAGTGAATCAGCCAACTTCTCTCCTTTCATCCTTACCTTCCTGTTTTCAGCAGCTTCTCCCTCTCCCGTTCCCTGTCTCCTTTTTTGTATGGCACACAACACAGTTTTTTCTATGGATTTAGGGTTTTACATAAGACAGGAGGAATGAGACTTCCTAGAGCCTCTGCTTTCTGTTCTTTAAAAGTCTGTGAAGTGGAGAAATGCTAAGGGCCCCATTAACTGATTGAAATGCTTAGAGAAGGCAACCTGGAAAATCACAGGGGAGAAATAAGCTAGAATCTCAAGGAGGGGTGTGGGTGGACAACCAAGGAGAGGATCATGTGGGAGGAAAGGGAGTCTGACACAAAGAATTCAATGGTTCTAGCCAGCCTCTCTGGGCTTACTTATCCATAATGTCACCAGGACTATCTCTAGTTCCTTTTCCTATTTCACTCTTTAATTCCATTTCTCTCACTTCCTGTTATTAACTAGAACACTCTACTTGTAAGACATGTACCCTAGAGACAGACAGAGAGACAGAGACAGACAGACAGACAGACAGACAGACATACAACTCCAGGATAAGGATGAAAAGAAAATGATGAGACCCATTAGAAATGGCTCTGATGGGAAATAAGACAGGAACAGTTCCACGTAAAACTTATCTCTGGGCACAGGACTTTCCCAATTGCCAACTTGTCAAAGACAGACTAGAAATTAAGACAAGATTAACAGGAAAATGACTACCTCATGGGAGTTCCTTAAGGCATATGTCATTCATTCAGGAGTTCAGCAATGCTCATCTAGGTCAAAATGGTCTCAGGTCTTAATCTTTTAATAATTACTGTCACCCAGATGACTGACAATTGCAAATAATCACATCTCTGCGTTAATTATTAGCATCCTACTCTTTTAGAGGATTGATGAGCTGGAAACATTTTGTGAGTCTGTGCTCAGGTCCTCTTCTTAGTTTTCCATTCTTTTGACAAAATACCTCTAGCTCCTTTAGCTGCACCTCTCGAGATAGAATTTTAAGTGCTCTCTTGATGTTGGGCAGGCCAGTACTGTTTTGGGCAGTCATATTCCCCCAGAACTAAGCGACCTGGACTGAATGAATTCTAGATTGAATGAAAGACCATTATCTCCCTCATCAGTGAAACCATCCCTTTGTATATCTACTGTACATGTGTGGGTATGCTACACATGTACACACCCCATTATGCCTTGGAAATAAACAGGAGACTGCCTGTGTGAACAAAAGCAGTCGTGCATCAAAATGCATGCCTGATATTTTGGGATAGCTATATCCCTCATCCTCAAAATGACCTTTCTATACATGGTCTAAATAAACACTGCCCTCTTCCTACTTCAGACGATCATTCAGATTAAAAAACAAGCTTCTAAGTATGAATTGTTTTCAAGTCACATAGGGAAATCACTTTCTCCTCTTCTGTATCTGTGCTGTGGACACACATAATATTAAGTGTGTGTGAAATCCTTATAGACCTGACAAATGCATGAACTGTGGTCATATATAAAACCAATCACTTTCCCAATTAATTAGTCACAGTCTTACAGGAGCTGTTAGGATGTGGTGTATCTTTAGTGGCACAGTCCTGATAAGTAACCACATATTATCACAGTACCAGCATCCCAAAAGTTAGAATAGGTGACATTTGCTTGAAACTAAAACTGGCCTAAGAAGAAATCCAATCTGTGTTCGTGGTTTGGAAGATCTTGAGTGCTTTTCTCAATTAGCCACTTCCTGTGCTCAGAGATATGTTCAATTAGAACTGCCTTGTCTGATCTCCTTCCAGTATAATCTGTATGAATCATAATTATCAGGGCTTTCACCAAGCGGAGAGTACTAGCACCCAGCACCCAAGGGAAGGGTATGGAGGACAGGAGGCAGGGAGGCAGGGAAAATAATCTAATCACCTGTGAGCGGCACCTCCTTCCTTCACTTGAGTGACAACGATAGCGTGAGGTGAGCGCTTTGATCCTCGGCCTCCACTAACCTGAATTCCCAGCCCATCTGATTCTTTGAGCAGCTCCATCTTCCATATCCGACCAACTTCCTCCTTGGAAGAAAAAGCAAGCATATGTGAAGGATGTCGACAGACACACAGCATTGACACAGGACAGCGGAGCTGTCACGTCAGGCCAAGGGTCCACCACTTGCCAACAGACATCGCAGAAGAAAGGCTGCTGTTGGTTGGACTGAAGTCTCCAGCTGGCGGTGCTGCCCAGCTGAACCCGCAGCTGTAGAGAAGGAAGCATTCTCTTTGTACCTTCCAAAACGGAGCCACGGGCCCCAGCTGGCCACGGAGTGCCTGACTGTGGCTGGTGGCAACTGAAGACTTGAATTTTAATTTCAATGAATTCTAGCCAGGGACTTAGCTCAGTGCTTCTGCCGATCCCCGGTACAAAAAAAAAAAAAAAAAAAAAAAAAAAAAAAAAAAAAAATTAATATA